AGCTCCGTGTTTCTGTTTCCAGGTGTGGACTGCTGCTCTTTTATCAACACCAACAGAAGAATGCTCCTGTGACGTTCATTGTTGATGGTGCTGTGGTCAAATTTGGCCAGGGTTTTGGGAAAACAAACATATATACTCAGAAACAAGAACCTCCCAAAAAGGTAATCGGCTCTAGAGAATTAAAAAGGCTATCTTTGCTTTTCAAAACATGCTGTGTGTAAAATAACTTAATTGTTGGGGCAGGGGGGAGAAAAAACAGGACCTCTGAACAATATAGTGTCTTCTCCATGTCTTCCTAAAGTTTTCCTTTACAGAGGTCACTGCAGCTTGGAGTCTGAGCATTAAAGGAAAGCAAAATAAACTTCAAAATTTATACTGTGTCTGATGTTTAGGCTCAGTTACCAGAAAGTTTCCATTTGTAAGTAGGTCAGGTTGGTAGCCTGCACAGTGATTTTCAAAATCTGGCTCATCTATTTTATATCAGTGAATTTCCTTCTGGTAATGAATGACACCTCTAAGCCCAGAAATCACTGGGCATAATTCTCCTTTGCCACCCACAGAGTTCAGGTAATCTCGATGACTTAAGAAGCCTTAAAAACTTTGGAAGGGGGAAGCACTCCCTAGTGGTACAACTGTTACCAAGGTTTAACAAAATACTCTGTTTTTCACCCAGGTGATGATGACCAAACGGACGAAAGATATGGGCAAGTTCAGTTCTGTAACAGTCTCCACAATTGATGAAGAGGAGGAGGAGATCGAAGCGGTGAGTTTCGGGTGCCCTTGGTGGCACCCACATGTGAGCTGGGCACCTGTCTGGGACGTGGGGCAGAGCCAGCGCTCGTCTCACCACCTGGGTGAGGTGTTGTTACTCTGGGGTTTGCTGTTGCAAAGTGACGTGTGTGTGTTTCAGAGGGAGATTGCAGACTCCTATGCGCAGAATGCAAAAGTGATTGAGAAACAGCTGGAACGCAAAGGCATGAGCAAGAAAAGGCTACAGGAGTTGGTGAGTGTTTTCTTTGGTGTTCAACACAACTCCCTGAGATCTGTTTGTTTTGTACACAGAAACTATTTTGCAGATCAGACTGCAAGCATAGAGAGGTCCTGGTACAGTCACAGGTAACTTGTAGTTTTGTGAGGATGAGTTTTCCTTTACAGGTTTTATAGAAATATTCTTCTAGTCCTTCTAGAATTAAAATAGTACTCGATTACCTGTAGAGCTAACAAGAGCAGCCAGCTTGCAGGGAGGCTTTCTGCAACGTGTTGGACAAGGATCAAGGGAAGGGGACATAAGGCCATGGCTTTGCCAACCAGAACACCCCTAATACTGTGCTCTTGTGCCTGCCTGGCAGAGCAGGTTGTTGCCATGAGGTGTCAGGGCAAGGCAAGGCTCTTGTGGAGAACTTGCAGCTCAGCCCCTACTGAGGCACTTGAAGAATGGCAGGAACATCCCAGCTGATCTTACCTGCTGTGACAGGAGGGTGGTAGATGGGAGGGGGACGAAATGTGCAGCTTCCACTTGGGGATAGAAAGTATGAAATTGTCTCCTGAGTGGTTAGTTTTAGGATGTTTATGATTTTAAAGGTGGTCCTCGTTTTGTGCGTCAGGGAAGGAGGGAGTCAGCAAAGCAGTTGGGCTACTCCTGCCCCTGGGTTGGGAACTGGAAAGTTTGCAGTGGTCAGACAAGAGCAAACCTCACTGGAGCACTGAAGGGAAACATATGCAGACATTATTTCATTCTGTCTTAATTTTCCTTTATTCAGGCTGAGTTGGAAGCCAAGAAAGCCAAGATGAAGGGAACCCTGATTGATAACCAGTTCAAATGAAATGCTACATATTTGCTGAGTATTTGGAGACAGGAGAAGGGATCTGTTAATAGATCTGTTAACACAGCAGAAGTAACAGACAGTGTTCAAGGGTTGCACTGTGCTGCAGCCAGCCTGGAGGGTGAGAACCTCTCTGTCATAAGTGATACTCTGGTACCAATTTTAATAACTCCAACAGCACTGGAGACTTTGCTGAAACTGCAGTTCTCCACAGACCCAGTGTTATGAGCACGCTCTTCCAGGCAGAATATTTACTTTCGGGAAAATCTTTGCCAGGTGCCTTCCTGAGTTCACCTTTAGATACCTGTCTTTTTATTTTGATAGTGTAAGATTTCCTTGAATGTATTAGAACAACAGGTCAACTGTACAACAAAGACACCCTTACAAAAGTATGCTCTGTGCCTGTTACTCATTTTGTTATTTTAACTGTGTCCAAAACATGCGGCAGCCTGAGGGACATGCCATTCCAACACAGTCTAGAACAACTGGGATGCAAGGCTTGAGCATCATTCTGCTGCTCACCCTGACCTGCCAGAGGCAGCCAGCACAGGCTTGGCTGCAGCACTCCAGCCTCAGGTCCTGTGGAACAGTGTACAGAATTACACTGTCCCAATAGCTACTGCCCCATACAAGAACATGAAATCCAACCTTGTTTTAAATTAATGAAAACAAACTGCAACTATGAGTTCAAATATATAGTAAGAAGCTACTGATACAGTTGGTAATCATTTAAAGTAGAATACCACTGCATGTCTTAACTAAACCGTTCTAAAAAACAGTATTGGTTCTAGAGTTGTGAAATGTGGAGGAAAAATTGTTTTGAATGTTCTGACCACTAAGGACTTGATGAAGACAACATTACACATCGGTTTTAAAGTACCTTATTTGGAGAATAATATTTTGTATTTCTTGTTGATGTAATAGCAGTGCTCTGCAGCCCATGTGTTTGTTGCTCTACTTGAGATTAAATGCCATATTATGAATTTGAACTAAAATGCCTTTCCTAAGGTTTTCTTACTCTAGCAAGTATCATAAAATAATTTGAGCAAAGATGCTTCATCTCCCACAATTATTACGGAAAACTTCCTTTAATCAATAAAGATTTTCCATCTGGCTTTATAACCTTGACTGGGAAAACTCATCTCTGCTTTGCCTAAGGATCTATTCTTCCTTTCTTTGGGGAAACAAGGTGTAACAGAGGGAGTGAACTCTGTGCCAGAGTTGGCAGGCTGGGATGTGTCCATAGGTCCTGTGACAATTTAATGCCAGGCTGGGTAAGCAGGTGTTCAGGTTAACTCACAGTGCTGATCTTGTTCCCTGCTTATCACCTGTTAATCTGAAGCCTATTTCCAGAAGCTCTTCAGTTAAGCAATTACAGGGTGGTGTGCCATACTTGGGAAGGGCAGGAGGCGTATGTGGGTACATCTCTGGTACACAAATCCCTTTCCCCAGTGTGGTAACACAGTCCAGCCAGGCGAGGGCCTCACGGCTCCCCTGGGAGCGATCCAAGCCCCAAGTAACTGCAAGTTGGTCTCTCTAAAGATTGGGAAGTTTTTTCCCCAAGCACGTGTCAAAGACTGACATCCAAAAATTGGTTTTGCACCACATGAAGTCCACTGGGATGCAGACTCTGGGTCTCTAGTTGTCCAAGAATGAAGTACAGTCCTGCTTCAAGTGACACCAGCACACAAGCTGACTTGGGGATAGTGTGACTTACAGTCAGGGTTGAGGCTGGGAGTGACAAAAGGTTTCAGCTGAGGGTGGGCTGTGAAGGGGCTGTCAGGTGGGGTTAGGACCATCTGCAGTTTGGTGAGGCACAAAGAAAATATGGTGAGTGCCCAGCTCAGTACAAGTTGTCCAATGTAGCTGTTACCAAGTGCCACCCAGAGCCTTGAGGCACAGCACAGGCACTCCTCGATTTTGGAAGGCCAGTCCATACGCAGTCAGTGTTTGTCATTCTTGTCACTGGAGATCTGCCTAGTTTGGCTCAGGACTCGTGCATGGACCCAGTCAGAAAGGAGAGTACATCATTTGTTGCACCAGCAGTCCCTGAAGTGCTTTTGATACACTCTAGTTACAAACTCAATGCCTGAAACAACTCCAACACAGAGACTCTGACCCAATACATTATTATGTATTTCTTACTCTAACTAGATCTAATTCACAACGGGTTAAATCAAGTTGGGTTTCTCATTTCTAGATCTAAATGAATTAAAATATATTAGCTGACTGTAGCAACAGGAAGCAGGGGCACCTAGTTCAAACACTTGATTAAATGTCCTAACCAGCTGTTCTACAGCTGGTTTTTTTGTACCCTGGTAGAAAATGGGGGATCTGCAGCAGAGTTCAGACCAAAGCAAATCCAGATTTTGCATTACTGTAAAAGTCAACATTTGTTTTTATAAATCTGTTTGTTTAACTGAGCACCATATTGTACGTAAGAACCTGTCCAGATGCAGAGGTATCACAAAGCAAAGTAATGTGTGAAATAAAAGTAGAGGAGGGGATCTGTTCCAAAAGTAATGGCACACATGGCCAGACTTACCTTCCTGTGTTTCATGGCTTAGTCCAGACCAATAACCAGGCACCTTCACAAGATCCTAGTCTGATTTACTGTGTCAGAACAGCTCGGGGTGTAAAAATGCTGCCTTGTTCCCCATTACCTGTACAAAAACCCCCACACAATTTTTAAACACTGAAGAGAAGTGGTAATGCTGAATCAGACCTTGTCGGTGTTAATTGCAGCTGTACCTGGGGAGCAGCGTGATGTCCTCCCTGCCTGCCTCCTGAGGGGAAATATTTCTGGTCAGTTCTTACAGCTCTCCTTGGGCTGTGCTCTGTGTTTGTGCTATTTCACCTGCCAACTGGCATACAGATGGCTAATTCTGACTCCCTAGACTATTGCAATGAATATTGATAACTGCACACTAACAACGTGTATGACAAAGTGATCAGCTTGGGAGCAGCACTGACTGGTCAGCCTAAATCAAACTGGACTCAGCTTTTGCTGGTGTTCTAAAGAGCCCCACAGGTCCATGGGCCACTGCTACCTCCAGGCATTTGAAAGTATAAAAGGACAGACTTGTTTAAAAGGCTGCAGGGCTGGGCTCCAAGGGATGGAGGAGGAAGCATTGTAGCTCTCTCCACTGAAGAGTTCTTATGAACCTAGCTGGCCACAGTGTGCTGGTATTTTGGGTGGATTTCAAGGCACAGGTGGCCAATCTCCTTGTCAGCCAGAAAATTGCTGCCCTATCCCTGCAGCTAGGGCCGTAACTCCTGTCATCCCAGCAGGATCAGACAACAACCACCAACAAACCACTGGTGGGATGACACCTCCCACAACCTCTCTGATGCTGCCGGTCTTGGTGTGGGTCTTGGCAGCTCCTGAGTGCTCATTGCTCCCCAAACTGCTACCTCTCCAGCAGTTCCCTGTGACTCCCAGAGACACAGCTTGGAGTGACCCAAGGACCGCTGAAGGGGACAGTGGAGTGGATGAGCTGGCACTCCGCTGGTCTTTTACAAGGTGAGTCCTTGGGGTGGGATGCTCTCCACTGCACGACTCAGCACACACGAGGCAGCCCAGCCAGGGCAGACTGGTACACACTGAGCCATCCCAACTATCCAGCACCACTCGCCACCTGCCCCAGCCACTGACAAGTGTTTCATATGATCCCATGCACAGCCATGCTGTGTCAACACCTCGTAAGCCTGGGATTTACAGCTGCTGGGCGAGGGGGCGAGACAAAAGTGGTGTTAGAAGGCGTTTGTCCACCTGTCCCTGCCAGCAAAGGGGCTGATACACCAGGACATGGCTCCCGTGGAGGAAATCATGACATACGAGATGTTCGGCCCTCCCACAGGAGAATCACAGTTAAAAGGAAAATCCACCCTGTCCATGCTGTCCTCGGGGCAGCCCAGCCTGGTGGCCAAAATGCTGTGTTGGAGGGACTGCACTCAGTTTGTTGCTTTGCCACTGGATGGCTCCAATCCCTTTTCTTTGCCTCAGTTTCCCTGCAAGAAGAAAGCCCTTAATCCCTGTGTAGTGTGCTCCTGTGGCAGGCACCAGTAGCGGCTGAACCCCCCGACTTACATCCCCAGATAAAGCTGCTCCCAGGGAACTGCCAGGAGGGGGAAGTTAAAGCCCCAGGGGCCCAGTGCCATAAGGGCTGCCAGCCTGTGCTCCCTGGCATTGGATTGTAGGTAAAACCCATTGTGGGCTCTGTCCTGCATCTCCCATGTGCCAGAGCTAAAAAAAAAAAAAGCTGTGAAACGAGCTTGTTTCCCAAGTCCCCAGGGCATTCATTAACTATTGTGGGTAGCCACAACCCATTTCACTCAGTGCCAGTCCTGCACCCCAAGCCCAGTGCACAACGCTGTAGGTCTAAGGACTTGGGGGTCCCCCGGCTCAGCTCCTTTGCAGCCTGGCACAACAGCCCAGCTCAGCACCTTGGTCACCCATCACCATGTGCAGGAAGAAATGATGCACTTACCTCCTCGTGCTAATGGCCCAGCCACACATCCCCTGCGGAGGAAAGGACAGGAAGGGATGCCCCATGCTCAGCAACCAGCAGCATAAGAACAGCCCTTGAAATCCAGGAGAGCTTAGCAGCAGGAGGCAAAACCAGCCAAGAGCCCTCAATTAATTAGCTGCACTTCTGCAGCAGGAGAGGGTTCCCTGGTAAAGTTGCCCCACGGCAGAGCCCCCTGCCAGGCTGCTGCCTGCACCCTCAGCACTGCCCAGCTCATGGCACTGCTCCACATCTCACAGGGCAACTTTCAGCTGGTTTTGTTTCCCCAGAAGACAGTGGGGGGATCTCACACTGCAGCAGCCCAGGGCCAGCTGAAAAACATCAGCAAGGGCTGTTGGCTCAACACCATCTCCCATCAGGAATGCACATGCCCATTTATAGGGACCCTGGCAAGCCAACACCTGCAGCAGGATGGTGCTCCGCTCTCACGCCTGGTTGCCCTTAGATTTCAGCAAGAAAAACAACTCTAACCCTATGCAATACAAGGTCTTGCTTAGCTGCCTTGGGCAGTAGTTAAGATTAGTTTCAGTGATTGAGATCAACTGCTTTGAGCAGGCCTGGGCAGCCAGAAAGGAGCCAAGGCGTGGGGGAAGCGAGGAACCTCGCTGATCTGAAGGGCAGAAGACCAGGAGAACATCCCCTCACCACTCCACATCCCCTAGCAGAAACCAGGCAGTTTCACTGGGGTGGCTCACAGACCCACAGAGGTATCTGTGTAAAGGCCAAACCACCCACATTGCTCAGTCTAGCAGTGTTTTCTGCAAACTGCCCTGGCAGCATGAAGGAATTTTCCCCTTCCTCTGGAATTTGGAAGCTTAACTTCCAGGGGTAAGGGATGAGCCTGGAGATGCAGCTCCCTGCCTGGTAAGCAGAGCTGGCACAGAAGCTGTCTCAGTTCAGCTGTTCCATCCCCATAGCACACCACTCACCTCCTGTGAGGGCAAGGCTAGCCAGGGGCTCTACAGAACAGCAGCAATTACCTGCACTTGTGTTCTCTGGCTGGGTTTTAACATATCCAAGTAGGCAGCTCAGTTTCTAAGCCAGAGAACATGAGGCCAGCTCTGCTCCTCCAGACAGCATTTCTCCAGCCTCTCAGGCATTCAGTGCCATAGGGAGTGTTGTGCTTTGCAGATGGTTTAGGCACTTGGCACTTTCAAAACCAGGTTTCAGCAGCTTCAGGGGTAGACAGGCCAGAGGCAGGATTGTGGCACACAGTTAGTGCATCATCTCTGGTTACCGGTGTCTCAGGGAGATCAGCTGGGTCAGTCCTTCAGAGCTGCCAGTCCTCATTTCAGCCACACCACTGGCCTCCCTCTGGGGAGCAAACAGGGTCCTCTGCAGCCTGCGCTGTGTTTACCTGCTGTACTTCGCAGGTAGCAAGGCTTGCAGGATGCACATGGTTCATCCTCCTCCTTCTCTACAGTCACTGAGACCCCCACCCCCCTCGTGCTGCAGCTGCTGCAAGAACAAACATGAGATGAGGAATATTGGTTTCGGATTTTTATTTCTTTGTACTCTTTAAGCAGGAGTGACTGAAATAGAAACCATCATGAGTCCCATCAAGGGGAATAAAGACAGGGCAGGCTGTTGCCCCTGCCCCATGCCAACCTGTATAAACATCAGCCGTCACTGTTTAGTAACTAGATGGTTTTCAAACAAGTCCATGAACTCTCATAGACTACACAGAACAACATACCAGTTCACAACAGGAAACAACTTATGTGTACTTCTTGATTTCATCATACAAGACTAAGACAAAAGCACCACCCATTCCTCGGAGTACATTCGACCATGCACCTTTGAAAAACGCCTTGGAGCCCTCATCCCGGGCAATCTTCCTCCAGCAGTCAAGAGTGCCAGTGTACATTATGTCAGCTGCAGAAGACAGACAGCTTTAGCAACTGGATGCCCAAGACCCCCAATATCCAGGTCAGAAATGGCCTGATGTATCTGCCAGCTTCATAACCTCAAGTGCATCCCCCCATTTCTTGACTGACTTTCTCCAGTATTAGTGCACTGGAAGATAAGACTGCCCAGCAGATATGCTGCTGCCGCCTTACCCCTGGGAGACACTGGAAGGACTGGTTTGAGCAGAAGGCAGCAACTGTTTGCTTTGACACCAACACTTCCAGACCCAAAAGCTATTGCACAGGTAGCCAGGCTGTGCCTGCTATGAGGGTTGTCTGTTCTTGCCCCAGAGACACCAGTTTGCAACATCCTTGGGGAAGTTCTGCTGTTCCTCCCTACTGGCAGATAAAGGGGTTTGTGCAAGCCCCTTTATAGGTGTGCTGTGCAGGCCAACCCACCCATGCCCCTGCCTGTCACCTGCTTCTGCAGTCCCTCCCACACCTTTCTTACAGGACATGAGGATATCTACTCGGGTTGGTGAAAGCTAAGCCACCCTCACCTCAGCTCCAACACCAACTGTTGATTCAGGGATGCCCTATATTTCTTATACAATGAAGGGGAAACTTACCTCCTTTACGGCCAGACTGCATCATCATGCGACGACGAACCGTGTCAAAGGGGTAGGAGACCAAACCGGCGACAGCAGTGACGGTCTGAGCAATCATCCAGCTGACAACGATGTGGGTGTTCTTGGGGTCTGGGAGCATGCCTGCAGGAGAGAGGCTTTGATGAGCACGGCAGGTGAGCCACCAGCGCTGCTGAAACGCACTGCAGGCCTGCTGCAGAACAGCGTCTCCCTTTCAGTGCCATTTTGGTCAACCTACCCTTGGCGGTGTCGTAGATGCCAAAGTAGGCAGCTCTGTAGATGATAATGCCCTGGACAGAGACACTGAAGCCCTGGTACAGGCCCCTGAGGCCATCCGAGCGGAAGATTTTGACCAGGCAGTCACCGAGCCCGCTGAACTCCCGGTCGGCCCCGGCTTTACCCACATCCGCTGCCAGGCGGGTTCGGGCAAAGTCAAGGGGGTACACGAAGCAGAGGGAGGTCGCGCCGGCGGCACCTCCGGACGCCAGGTTACCGGCGAAGTACCGCCAGAACTGGGTCCGCTTGTCCACGCCGCCCAGGAAGATCTGCTTGTACTTATCCTTGAAGGCGAAGTTGAGGGCCTGGGTGGGGAAGTACCGGATCACATTGGCCAGGTTGCCGCGCCAGAAGGAGAGGACGCCCTGCTCCCGCGGGATGCGCACCACGCAGTCGATGATGCCCTTGTAGTGCTTGTCGGCCGAGATCTGCTTGCTG